GACAAACACTGTAGCTACTTGTACATATCTATGCTGCTTTGAGGTTTCTGTTTATTTGTTTTCCTAGTATCCGTGATCTTTTTCCTCTTCATCCCCTGTAAGAAAATGTCATAGTTAACTGCTATTTATAAAGTTCTGTTTTATTCTTGACATCTACATAAATGTTACTGAAAATCTGTACATAAACTTAACGTCTTTGGTGATTTTTTTTTTTAGGTATTTTGATGACATCGATGACGAGATGGATCCAGAAATTGAAGAAGCATATGAAAAATTCTGTCTAGAATCAGAACATAAGAGAAAACAGTGAGATGTTACACATTAATGTTAGTTTATTAAGCCAGTTTAGGTATGGTTAGAATACAGGGGGACACAAAACATTTGTACCAAAAGAAGGAACTTGAGTTTCTCCAAGTACTAAAGTTATACAACTTCCATTTTGTTTAACAGAATCTGCCAAAAATTATAAACTTACGCCCTGTAACTTAAAATGTTGTGTATATATCATAGTTTATTTTATTTACAGGTATATGAACAATGTTTTGGCTGCAATAAAAATGATTTAAAAATTATTCATAATTGAAATTAAAATTTAATGGGAAACTGTCCTATAAAATTTCCCTTGAGGGAGAAAGGGGAAGAATAACTTGATCTACATTTAATTGCTTGCTTGCTTGTTTTGGTATATATTGGGATTTACTCATCCTTTTGTACCACATACAAGATATCTGGTATTTAATTTTTTTTTTTTTTTTTTTGGCTAAGGAGAGTATGATCCAAATACGGATTTTTTTTTTTTTTTTTTTCCTGTAGATCATGGTCATGAGAAGTGGTTTGTGAAGGTATTGTCTTGTGTGGGGTTTTTTGTTTTGTTTATTTCCTCCTCCTTCCTCTTCCAAAACCCATATGGGTGAGGTCTGGACTCTTTTTTTTCTGGAATAAACATGTTATATGTTGATATGTGAAAAAGCAAGCAGTATAGAAGTTGGGTGCTTTCAAGATCTTTGGTTCAGATAAGCTTATTTTCAACTTGTACAAGCAAAAACTATCCTTTAAGTTTGTTGTGTTCTTCAAGATTATATGAATAGTTATGTTTTAACCCATGCTTCTCGCAGTGCTCGATTTTCCCCTCCCCCCAGCAATGTATCTAACATGTCTAACCTTCCTGCAACCTTTGTAACTTTCTCCATTCTAATTTTATGTAGTTTGATTTAATTTTGTAGTTGGAGTAAATTCATATATTTCATAAATGTTAACATTCTGAAGCCAACTGCTCTTTTTTTGACCCCATATAATCATGTTAGTTTTCCTAGGATGCTCCATTGTTGTTGCCAAAGTCAGTTGTACTGTCTCCTGTTATCTGTTACTGGTTAGGCTGGGTAGAACCCCTTACCAAAAACAAAAGGAAATATTTCCAAGAGTTAGCTACTGTAAAGAACACGTTGTAAATATGCATGTAAATAATTCTGTTAATATTTCACTGTTATTTGTTTGGTTAAATAACTTGTGCATCTGCTAATAGAGTGAGCACTGACTGTTTTCTGGATGTTTATTTAACATACTTATTTAGGTTGGAGTTTTGGAAAATAAAATTTAACTAGCTTTGTTTCCTTTGGTATAATTTCACTACCTTGTCTTTTTGCTTTAAAAAAAAAAAAAAAAATTTGGTCCTTCTATCTCCCCTTCACCTAACACTCCTTTTTTTTCTTTAAAGTACACAGTTGCAGAGAGTATTATCTTTTAATACTCATTGGAAAAATAAAATTTATCAACGGGCAGTATGGTGATAAGAACTATATTAGCATTTCAAAGTCTCTAGACTAAAATCCAGACACTAGAAAAGTGAAAATTAAATTAGATGATTTTCAGACACACTTTCTCTAACGTTGATACAGAACTTTCAATCCAAACACAGGTCAGACTTCCTGCTGACTTTACAAGCAGATGTCCTGTTGAAAACATACTGACTCAAAAGTCCCAAGGAACAAACATTCATATATGCATAATAATAAAGTAATAGTGTCTTGAAGGGACTCCGCTTTACATGTTTTAGTTTTGCATCTTTTGTAGTGTGTCTTTTTTTCTGTACAGTAGCTGTCAGACTCCAGATGTATACTCTGTCAGCTTGTGGAGACTGTATGTCTTACATGTAGATAAGAAATATGCCAGGTCATCCTGTACAAAAATGTTGGGAACTAGGAATTGTCTATATGAAGCAATTCAGATCAAGGTTTGCAAAATAAGCTTTGTCCTCCACCAGAAATACTGAAAAATCATTAAGTGAGACTTTTGTTCAAAGTAGTGGAGAATTTTGTGGTCTCTGTGCATGCGAAGCTTTGTAAGAGCTTTAAGCCTGTACTGCAGTAAGGAAAAATTGGTTTTAACTCTGTCCTACTGAGTAAGGAAGACCGGATAATCTTTGCCTTAAACACTTAACAATCTTTCCTACTTGTCTTAAATCTCACAGGAGTCTAATACAAATTAGTGATGGTGGAATGAGATGTGAGAGAGCAAAAGAAAGCAGCAGGTTTCACACTCATAATCACCATTTGCTGCTTGTCTGCCTGCTTTTGACTGCCGATAGTTGTGTGTGTGATAGAGGTGAGTCTTGAAAGGCTTAAAGATTATTTCACCTGAATTTTAGAATTTACAAATTTCAAGTGCACTGTGTAAAAGTGTTTCTCATCTACAAGTTTCTGAACAATACCTTGCAGATAAACAACCCTTTAAAAAGATATATTTTCTTTGTGGCATAATGGTAAGCCGGTGAAGGCACAGAACCATGAAAAGCCAAACTTTGGGGGAGAATTGAAGCAAACTTCTTTAGCACTGGTTCTGAAAAGAAGCATACTTTGCATTTGAATTTAAGCATGCGACCAAGCTTCACACATCAGAAAAAGTATGTGCGATATTTGCCGCTCTTGACAAATCAATTGTGACTTAACAAAAATGTTTACTATTTGAAAATCACACTTTGCTTAAAGTAATTTCAAACTGGGCTGCAAGAGGTGCTGCTTTGCATGTGCTTTGCTTTTGAATGAGAGTTACATATTCAGAAATTAAGTCAACTTTTTCTCAGTACTGTCCTTTCAAATCTGCTAAGAACTTCTTGCTACTGGCCTACTTCCCCCCCCCAGGAAAACGGATGGTCACCGGTTTTTTGAATGTTGGTTTTAAGTGTAATTGTAGCACTACAGAAAGAAGCAAGACTGGCTTAGCTATGTCAGGTATCACAAGTTATGCATAGCCGGGATTTTTTTTTTTTCTTTTTTAATAGAATAATCCATTATAGCACTGAGTATTAGTGACACTCAGTCTGGTTTGTAATAGTAATTTTTATTTCTCTCTGGGACAATACTTCCTTATCACGTTCTGCCTTTCCTTCTTACTGCACAGAACTCATTCAATTAGTGATAGCTCAAGTTTGCAACTTCTCTCTGACTGAATTATAGTTCTAATCATCCAGTTTATGCCTGTTGATACAGGAACAGAAAATGACATTCCGGCCAAAAGTCAGGGGAGATACTGCACTGTTTGCACTCTCTGAATTGCTGATTTGCCACCTCTACTTCAGCCTGTGACCTACTTCCAGAGTTCCTACGCTGAGGGTTCTGACCACAGCAGTGAAATTGCCAGCAAAATACAATGCATCGTCCATAAATAATAAAAAGTAATAAAGGATTCATAATCCAAATACATAGTTTGACGCTTGCTTCAGGCAAGTACTATGCAGAATATTCATGAAAAAGGGTATTGCAAATAGAATCAGATTTTGATGCATAGCTGTGTCTGCAGCCACTTGACTGGATGTTGACCTACTCTCTACTTCGCTGAGAAAGCAGTTGTAGAGAATGGAAAGTTGTACTAAATGCATAAATTCTTCCATGATTGCATACTGATCTGAGAAACCTGTACCTCCATAGGTAAGGAATGACCGTTACAGCTGGATGAGACCATACAATCTAGTGTGTCCTGTATAGCAAAGGATCTTAAATTACATTTGCTTAGTGCTTTAAGCAGGAATTGATGATAAATTGTCACTTAACTGTAAACTGTCAATCCACTTAAAACAGCTTTGATTAAACTAAGTGTTGGGCAGGAGGGGGAGGAGAGTGTACATATCTTCCAAAAAGGCAGCTAGGTATAATTTTAAATTGGCCTTTGGGAAATCAATCTTTTAGTCTATTCAGCTGGGGCTTCTGCGACCCAGTTTTAAGTACATGGATGTCTTGTTAGATTTCCCTGCCCTGTGAATGCACCAATGTAAAGCAGCAGTCACAAGAGAATTATTTATCTGTAATCTGTCTTTGGGATATGTAGTAGATCGGCAATCTGCCTTCTCAGTTCTGTGCCCTAAGCCTCCTCCTCATTTTCCAGAGGTGCTCATGTGGGGAGGCAAGGAATGAACGCCCTCTTGCACAGCCGCTGGCATGCTGCGCGGGGAGGCAAGAGGGATGTGCTGGTGCTGCTGCAGCAGTTCTGCAGGTAGCTGTGCTGTGTCGGGGCACCTGCTGAACGAGGTGTATCTTAAAGAAGCATAGTTACAGGTAGATAGGGTTTTTTTTCTATAGTCCAGGCCTTTGTACTGCTAATTTTCATTTCTGGAGGAGCAAGAGACATCCCTGTTTCCAGCAGATAAAAACTAAAAAAGAAGAAAGTAAAAAGACACGATGTGTATTTCCACCTAGCTTGATTTACAAATGTGTATATCCATGAGGTCACATTTTCGATCCGTTACCTGCTAGCAGGAAGCTAGGGTTACTTCACCAAACGTATGCGCGGCCGGGGAGGAGGGGAGGAAGGGAGCCCGGCGGACCGCACCGCCCCGCGCTCC